GGGAGGACACACAGGGCTCCACACACTCGTGCCAGGGCAGCACATCCTCCTGATAACTGTCCAGGAACTTGTTCAGGACCCTGAGCGACAGAGGACCCAAGTGCCAGAGGCAGCCAGGCATGTCCTGTGCCACCCCGGCATGTCCCCACCAGCACCCAAACACATACTGCCCTCTCCAAACATGACTCCATACCCAGGACAACCCAATCAGCACCTGCTTATGTGCTGGGGTGCTCCTGCCCCTGCCTCTGGTGAAGAACACCCCCACCAGGACCCACAAACCCCAATGTCTCACCATCAGCACTCACACACCTGCTGTGGGGGCCCCAAACCCCCCCCCAGATCCTCCTGCACTCACCTGAGGATGCTCAGGCTCACAGCCTTCTCCGCCCCCAGCAGCTCCAAGCTGCGCAGCAGCAGCCTGAAGCAGCTGTGGTCCTGCAGCAGCTGCGCCACCTGCCCAGAGGGGACAGGGCCTTCCCCGCAGAGCTGCCGCTCCAGGGCCACCACCACCTCCTTGGACAAGGCGCCATCCTCCAGCCTGCCCAGAAGCATCCGCACGCCCTTCAGGTCCAGTGGGGCTTCTCCGCCTGCCATGACAAGGACACGTGGGCCCAGCCCAGGCACTGGCTTGAGAGGCAGCGGCCCCTTGGGGTGCTCTGCCCTGGCAGGCGAGGCAGCCCTGCCTGCAGCACCCACGGAGCCCTGGCACGGGGAGGGTGGGCAGCGCGGTACCTGCTGCCTCCAGGTCCAGGGGCAGACGGTGCTCTGCGAGGCGGTTGATGGCGCGCAGGGCCAGCACTGCATGAGGGCAGCCGCTGCTCTGCCCGTCCCTCCAGCAGCTCTGCAGCACCGTGGGGAGGTCGCAGCTCGCCAGCTGCTCCGCCAGGCCCCGGTGCCCATCCATCAGCATGTTCACCACCAGCAAGCCGTTCTGCACTCCTGAGGAGCCCCTGCAGGGACAAAGCCATGCGGGTGCTCTCCTCCCCAAGGCACAGAGCCTCCCCTGAACCCACAAGCCACCTGCCTGCCATGTCCATTCCTCCCCACTGCAGAGGGTCTCCCCAGCCCCAGCTGCTGCCCACACTCTGCCCCTACCCTGGGACCCTCTGCATGGTGCTCAGGGCAGCAGGGATGGTACTCAGCAGACTGGCAGAGCCCTCGCTCGAGGCAGAGCCGATGCTAGCAAAGATCTCCCGCATCATCTGCGCGTCGGCATGGTTCCAGGGCAAGGACTTCCCACCACCACCTCCTGGCTCACCGTCTGCAGCTCCCACCAGCACCTTCAGGGCCTGTGAGGTCAGAAGCAGTCCACAGGGCAGCAGGCATCTCCACCACACCTGGGTGAGCCTGCACACTGCCTGCCCACATACAGCATGCCCTGTGCCACTCACCGCCAGGCCAGCCTGCTGCACCAGGGCGGAGGAGCTGTGCTGCTGCATGCAGGCCAGCACGGCCCGCACACCGCCCTCCGTGGCAAACGGCACACGCCAGTCATACTGCGCCATCAGCACGGCCAGCAGCCGCAGCGTCACCGCCACCAGCGCCTTCTCTGCCACCTCAGTGCTCAGCAGCTCCACTGCCACCTGCACCAGCTTCTCCCTGCTCGGGAAAGGATACCTCAGGAGGAGCCTCCTGGCGCTGTCACTGGCACGCCAGCACCTTGGGCCCTGCCAGCCACCTCCTCTCTGCCCACACGGCTCTGCCGCAGCTGGGTCAGCCCAAGGAACGAGCCTGCCTGGGACAAAGGGACACAAAATCCACTCTTCTCTTGCCAAGCACGCAGGGACATACTGGTCTTCACACTCCCACTGCCACCTCCTGTACTCCCAGCTCCAGGACTGTCCCCCACCATGCCAACACAGCCCTCCCCAGGCACCAGGAGGGATGTGCAGCACCCCACGGCTCACCCAGCGCTCCCGGTCCCCAGCCTGCCCTGGGCTGTGCCAACTTGCTGCTCGGACTCAGGTTCCTCCTCCAGGATCTTCAAGATTTGCTTGAGCCCAGCTAAGCGCAGCCCCACCGCTGAGCTGCTGCTCTGGATCACGTCCACCGTGGCTGCAATCTCGGCCACCGAGCCGCTCTCGCTCACCCCTTTAGGGCTGCCCAACACTGGCCGGAGGGAAGGAGGCATCAGGGCAGCAATAACACCCCCAGCAGCTCCCAGGGTGCCGTGCACCCACAAAACCAGCACCCACAGGCCCCCCACCAGCTGCCTGGCCCCCATACCCTGCCCACAACCTTCCTCTCTTGAGGCAACGGTGCCACTTCCAGCACCACGCGTGTGCCCCAGCACGTAGCAGGACATTACCTTTGATCTGCTCCTCTGTCACCTCTGGGAAGAACAGCCCTTCCCTCTCAAAGAGCTCGCTGAACAGCTGGGAATCGGACTTCACTGCCACACTCGGGGCTTGGGGTGGCGCTGTGGCTGCAGAAAGGTCTTCCTTTGCTGACTTGACCATCGTGGCTTCACGGCCAATGCTCTTGCAGCCACTGCCCTCTGAGGACACTGCGGTGCTCCCCCCACCATCCTGCTCAGCCCCCCTAATGAGGAAGTATCTGGCATAGACGCGGGAGCCACGCAGGTCACGCAGAGTGCTGCCCTGGCACCGCTTCTCCAAGACCTGCAGCACCTTCTGGGCCAGCTCCACAGGCACCGACAGCTGGATCAGGGCTTCTTCATCCACCTTCAACAGCCAGACCAACGGCCTCAAGTTAATCTTGGACTCGCCACAGACCTCATGCCCTTTGTGACAGCCAGTGGCGGAACTGATGGAAAGGCTGCACCACTGGGGGTCCCCAGGGCCTTTTCCCTGTGCCACCCTGGCTGTCTCCAAACCAACTGCCACCAGCC